GTCAGAGAAAAGTTCGACGTGGGCCCGCTCCTCGCTCGCGTCACAGCTCAGTGACCCTCGGAGTCGGTGTAGGCCACCATCAGAGGCGTTAAGGTCGGGGCCCTGATCATTGACATGAAACCATTCCCTGTTTTTAATTAATAAAACCAATTCCTTTTTTTTTGTTGGAATGGTGATCAGTAAATAGGGCAAGAGACTGCAACAAATTCATTACACACTTTATTCGGATTATTTACAATATCTAAAACATTGATAACCATTAGGAAGGAATGATTCTTGTCAAGTAAGATCTGTTGAATAAATATGGTAGTCAGACTTGATTAGAATATTAGCAAGACCTATTGTCTTTCACCTGGAGTGCTCTTGCACAGGCTTAAGAATCAACATTTGTAATAGGTATTTTCATCGATTAGATTGGTTGCTAAAATCAACTTAGACGTTGCATTGACATTAATCAGAATGATTTCAGCTTCATGATTTTGAATGCCTGGCTCAACCGTGAGGATAAGACCTGGCTGCTCAATGAAGCCTCAATTAGTAACTGCGAGTATAAGTGGAATAAATAAATTAAAATACATCTCAAACTTTCCCAAAATAGAAGATAAAGGATAGATACATCTAAAATCCACGCAACTGGATATCCCACTTCATTTAACAGGGTAAACGATAATATCTACATTATAATAAACATGTACGAGTTTATTGTATTAGAATGACTAATCGAGGTTAGGTAAATCTGTTAATTTCTAATTTGCGAATCTCAATAAAATAATATTTACTACTAATATTTCATTATGCGACAGAACTAGTTCAATATTTATAGAAGAGTGAACATTTTAGCGCAAACTACACAACTTGCCAGAATCTTTCGTAGTCTTTTTCGACCATCCGAAGAGTACTTGGGCACATCAATTCACTAGAGATCTACTAGAGTACAAACCTCTGACGATGAATAAGACAATACACTTGAAGAACCTCAAAAATACAGTAAGCCTTAAAGAATTCTGAAATTCCTTCTGAAATGTAAACAAATATGTTAGTTTGGAACTAGAAAATTTTATGAGCAGTTACCGGAGGCCAATTTTGCAAAGGCTCACAGACTATGAAACTTTAGCAGAAGTTCTCTATGAAGGAATTAATCCACGTTTGGCACGAAGATAGTCTTGCCCTTGGGATCATCGAAGCGATCCATGGTCTTGATGTTGGCCAGCATGCCGAGCCCAACAGCGAGGATGAAGACGGCCAGCAGCGACGCCAGCAGACCGGACCAGATGCCGATGGTGAAGAAGCCCACGCAGTCCCATGTGGGGCTGAATTTTCCAGTAATTTGGGTCCTGAACGCCTCAACCTGAAGCAAGCGAAATGATGAGGCAAACGGTTGATAACAAAACACACAATACTCAAGGCATAAACTAACTACCTAAATTAGCAACCAACAATTTTATGTTGCAACGATTGGCGAAAATTATTCCGGGTTCGCATTTTCATCATTTGTAATCATCAGCATGAGTAACACAAGATCCATGACAAGACACAGTCTCAGGTTAATCATCAACCCAAAGCTCAATATCTATAATCAGAGCTGATAAATATTAACCTACTGATTGGGCTTCCATATACTTAATAGTTTGCAACGTCACGAAATGTACTCGAGTTAATCAAAATTAGTTTTCTGGTTCCTTCATTCAGGGACTAGCAATTGATAGCCACGAGCTTCATGCATTGTAAAGTTATTGATATCGTTGCAAGCTGCATTTCGTGACGACCCCATCAGACAAAATATGAATTTAACGAGAATCATTAAATGTATCATTTCTTATGCTCCTGCATTTTTTTATTGCTTTCGGTCATTAATCCTTTGCTTTGCTGAATTAATAATCATCCATGCACTGAGGTTTGATCACAGCTAATGACTATGTTGTGTGGGTGTGACTTAGTTCCATACGAACTTTATATTGGAATTGCAACTGATTTATCATCACGTGCGATCAAACACTTGGGTGTTTTCTTTGGAATTAAAGAGAGCTCTATCGTACAAACGTGATCACAACACCGGCGCGTGAAATGGGCCTTGTTCACCAGTCCGTTTATATTATGCGTACCGGTATAGGTAAATGCATAGCAGGAGGCCTAAAGTTTCATAGCCAGCAAGTCACTAATGATCGCCCATGATTTTTATTTAACAACAGGAACAAACAAAAACCACCAAGTCGAGTTTGAGCATCAAAGAGATTATAGAGAATTCTGTTCCTAATAAATCATCTGAACAAAGGGAAGCGTGGCAAGGTTTCAGTTATAATCTGAGTGAGCTCAGCAGGGAACAACGCTGGCTTACATAGAGCGTTTCTGTTGTAGGGTTCTCTCGTGCAGTCTTTGTGAGGTCCACTTTGACCATAGACACCCGCCAGTAAGACCTCTTTAAGGTGAAGTAAAGCCTGCAAAAAAATAAGAATAAAAAAGATGCTTTTAGATAGAATTAAAGACAGCCAAATTTTATTGTATTTTATAGAAATGTATTCACAGCTGAACTAACCTATTAAACCACTCGCCTTCCAGAAACTAAATAAAATGCCGGAAGAATCCGATGAGAAGCAAAACTGTCTGAACTCTGAACGTAAATGTTATGGAAAATTGTATGCTGTAGTGGCGAGAATTTATTTTTAATGAAATTTCTTCATTTTTATATTGACGATTTCAATCCAGAGAAATTAGTGAGCTAGATCCTGATAATAGGAACTGCAAATGGCCTTTGGCATACGAGAACATACACTAATTCAAGTTGAAGTATTTGATAAGTATATATGTTATACCTACAAGCAACACGTTATTACGGTTTTTATGAGCGTTAGCCAACTATGGACCTGGGCAGATCCCCAACAATGTCATGCATGGGTCAGATTCTATTAATTTTTTTTTCTTGGTTACCAAATTAGAATGTCAAATAAATCCGAATGTCAGATTTTGGGCTAACGTTAATAGATATACTAAGTACTATCAGTTTAATTTTCTGGCGTGATCGTGACTTGGATTGATATTTGCCTACGTGAATTTGACCGGGACAATAGGCTCAGGTATCTTTGGCTTGGCACTCACGAGACTTTGACTTTGCTGTATTCGACGTCGAGCTTCACGTTGCTGTAGGCTAGCTGCATGAACTGTACTGTGTTGTTATTGCAGTCCTTGACGTACTCTGTGCTGACCGGGTCTTCCGGAAGAGGATAGTGCTCACTGTATAAGAGAACGTGTGATGAACAGCAAACACTTGCACAATTAATGTTAATAATATATCTGAATATAGTGAGCACCACAACAGATGGTCAAATATGATCCAGTACTAAAGTCTAGATAACGTGATTAGAATCTTATATGGAATGGGAGCTGCAAAAATCTTAGTAATAATTATCAAAAACAACAAAGGTAGCAATATCGCAGAATTCAACAATTGTCTCAATTTATGCGTTTGAAAATGTAGGTTTCTGGACATCTATTGTCAGGAGAACTGATGTTTTTTGCAGACGTTCGTATATACTTCCTAAAACGTTTGTATATTACATGAAACATCCGGACTTTGGCGTCGCATGATGTGATGCTTTGGGGATTTGTGAAGGATAAGATTATTGGCGCATATTAAGAGAATAGGATTGGATGAATTAACTGAAGTTTGATCAGCTGAAGTTATAGGAAGGATGCTAGCATGAGTAAAACGTTGTTATGATGTAATAGAAGTAACCCAACAACCCACCCATCACGGCCGGTCAGAGACAGAGTCATGTTCTGGCGGAAGTAGACGAGGATGCAGGAGCCGTTGTGGAAGTTGGGCGGCAGTTCCTTTGCCTGCTGCAGCGAACGTCCGATGCGAAGATGTGTCTCGGCATCTTCTGCATCTTCTGAATCCTGAAAGCATATTAAAACTTATAGCCATCAGCCACTGAATAATGCTGGAAAATACTTTTCATCATTCCAATTTTATAGTTTTGAATGCAACTAAAACAAACTTGGGGCAGCTAACACCAAATTGAAGGCAGAAATATCTAAACAGTAAATGAATACATAGAAGAAAGTGAATGAGCAGTGTAAGCTAACATTATTTGTGATAGAACAACCTATCTCTCAAAAAAGACCAATTACTTTTCAGAGACATTATGAAAAGCTTGTAGCGCCACTAAATTTTTTTCTACAGAAACCATGAGATGCCATGAGGAGTTGTATTTAAAAGCAAATGTACTCACAACAGACGGTTTGAGTGCAGTGTAGATCACAGTAAAGTTTGCTAGACTCCCCACTTTGCTCAGCACGCTCTGCATCACCTCATCTGAAACATTAATTTCACAGTATTTATCTAGTAATCCTGAATTAGTGAACGTTTCTTTATTAGTCAAGGCAATGTTGAATAAGAGCATACAAATACATTTCTGAAATGATAACTCAGAGCAATGCAAAGAGCTTTTATTATGCTATGCACTAAGACAGACGGCGAACTTAAATAAAGCAGTACTCAAGGTATGACTCTTTATTGGTAGGAACGATTAAAACACTTGTAGCAAAGTTTTCAGTGACACTCAGCAGAGATTCAAAGACTATCAGGTAGGGATTGAGCATAGGGGTAACAAAATAACTTTTTAACTACTATTGAAAGTCATGCAGCAAAAGATTCACAGACTGGCGGGAGAAGATTTAAAGATTACCAGTTAATGTTTGAAGGTCAGGCAGTAAAAAATTCCAAGATTACCAGCTTTCCTGAGAGCTCGGCTGCGGCTGGGGTTGGTGATTGTGGGCGGTAGCTTAACAACCACTAAATTCTTTTGGTCTTCTTCCAGCTTGAGCTCCGACACTCCACTGCCAGCCGTCAGGCTTGTTACCTGGGCCAAATAAAAGTTAGAGAATGATATAACACAATCAAGTGAAAGCAGTCCTAGCCCAAAACCTAGCTAACCTTAACCTAAAATAAAGAAGACCCCACATTACAAATGATGAGTCTGACGGATGGGGAATAAAGCATTATTAGGGGAAATTAGCTATCAATAAAATTTAAATGAAAAGCATCAGAACACAGATTGAGACTAATTCACAGGAGCTCAAAGACATTAATGTAGGATTATTACACAGCTAAAAAGTGTTAAAATACTTCACATAGCAATGCAGCTTTCATGTGTAAATAACCAAGAAGTAATGCCACCTTGTAGCCTTCCTGCGCGAGCTGGTGCTGCAGCTGTGCCGGCTGCACCACGTTCGGCAGGTACAGAGATTGGCCGGACTCCATCCATGTCTTGAGGTGCTCCAGCTCTGAGCTATGGCTTGACAAGTCTTCAATGCTCAGCTACAAAGCATATTGTCAAAATATATAAATGTATATTAGTATACCTCAACACATCATACATTTATATATTAAAAGACATTAAATACATGCATGATATGCAACACCAAAAGTTCACATATATGTATAACCAAATTTAAAAGAAAATTGAGTACAAAATTCAGAAGTCATGTTTATTTTTAAAAAAACATTACTTCTGATCAATAGGTTAAAAAATTAATTAATTATCATGAGCAATAATTTGTGATAATAAGAATTCAGTGCTGAGAAAACAATTGACTCAGAAAATAAATGAAGATCCTGTTCAACTGCTCATACTCACAGCATCCTGGAGGAAAAAGAGGATATTCTTTGGCTGAAAGTCATCCAAGTAGCGAGCCTGGAAGCTTGGGACTGAGATCTGCTGCAAAGCAGACACAGCAGGCAAGTTGTTTCCATCGGTAGTTCTGAAATCACAAATTTTTTGTGTACAAGCAGATTATAATGTTACAGGCACATGCTTTGTTTATACATGAGCATAGGCTGAGTTGAAGACTAATTCACTGCAAGTATTTTTTCATTGCATTGGGATAATCATTTGATATGTTGCTCAGGTTTCACTTAATGCAAGATTGCTCAAAGTTAAACTTATGATTGGAGATTAATAAATTTCTAGTTTATATTAGTAAATGCCAATTCAACAATGCACAGGATATACTTAAAGTACGTACAAGGCTTTTAATCACTGCTCCAGATGCAGGGCAACTGTTGCCATGACAGAAATTTTGTGATTGTAGGTAGTAAAAAAATTCCTCAAAGTTTCTCTCTTACATTTTTGGGGAAAATATGTATAGGTAGGTCTTTCTGCCTCCAGTTTTTTGATGAATCAAGAAAAGGTAAAATACCAGCCAAAATTAGTTAGGGCAATAACCAGAGCACATTTGAATGACACATATGCACTTAATTCATTTGTACAAGAAGCTAAGCTGCTAGCTACGTATAATGTATTGCACACTTGATGCCTCTGTACCAAAAACATTCAATTTATTGGAACCTAATACACACTAAAGGCAACAAGTTTATATACCAATTTGTCATTTATAGTACATTTATACTAAACCATGAATAACAATACCTCAATATAAATTGAAAACTGCCACTCAATATATTTAAATATATGAAAAAATAAAAATAAAAAAAATCGAAAAAATAAAAAAAAACACGATTTTTTTATAAAAAAATCAAGTGATTTAATCACATGATTTAATCATTTTGATTTAATCATTGCCAACCCTGTCTGAAACAGAAAGGAATGTTTTAGCGACAACCATCATATGTTTTGGAGAAATAAATCATAGTTTAGGTCAATTACTTTTCATTCTATGATGCCTGGTGCACAATTCTATATACCTATGACATTCTATGCACAATTTTGTAATGACCAAAGATGCACTAATGATTTGATAAGAGAAATTTTTTGCTGAGCAAGGTAAATGTAATCAATATTCTTTGTTTTTATTAAAAATTTTTCTTAACTGGAGCCTTTGTTAACTGAGGTTCTACTGTAAATGCATTTTTGGGGGTGTCCCAAGTAGCCCCGCTGTGCGGAAATGGCCGCCATTTTTTTTTTTGGATTGAGGTATGTAAATTCCGCAAATAAAATTTTAATGCTGACACTTATCTGCCACTTCTTTCTAAGCAAAATTTTTAATACAGCAAATATTATTTTTACTACAGACCTTAGCAGAAATAACTTTTCAAAATATCGTTTTTCACAATTTTTTCAGGAATTTTTCATAGCTAGTAAATGTAGTATTTTTGAACTTCCTTTATACTACATAGATAGGAAAAATGTTGACGTTTACGCCACTATATTTAGTTTTGCAATATAGTTTTGCTACTAAAACAGTTTTACGCCATGTCGGAGGACTGTCCCGAGTTACCCCGCCCATCCCGAGTAGCCCTGGTTGACGGTAATTAAAAAATGTTTTATGTCACAATAGATTTGCATAGCCATAGCAACAATGATTTCTAGATGAGGCAAGGTTGAGCTATTAGTGAACAAATTTCTGGCATGCTTATGCTTGATTGTATAGTTTATTTCATAGGGAATTCATGCCATCACCATTTAATGTCATCAAGGGGTGTGGATAATTCAAATTGTGTAACCTTAGTGCATTCAAAAGTTACTCAACTTCTGACAGGAACCTGGTAAATCCGTTTTTCAGAAACACAAGAAACCCACACGATGAATTACTTCCAATCTAATTATTAAAAGAGCATATACAGGCTGCAAGATTGCAAATTTTGGAAAACTAGGTAATATTAGAACCACAAGATTTTGGTACCGTAATGAGTGGGAAAATTCTGAACTAGCTGCATGAATTAACTTTTAAAGTTCTGTGAAAGTAATGCAGTAAATTTCATGACAATTGCCCAATTCCATGGAAAGAAGATATCCCTCCTAAATTCATTGTGTGCTAAAGCGTAATTCCATGCAAGTATGATAGGTAATTTATTACATCTGTCAGGGAAGTAAGATTTCCAATGAGCTTACTAGTCTATATATAGTAGTACTCAAAAATGAACAAAAAAAAAAAGAAACTAAAGAGTTTCTGCTTTGCAGCTTTGCTACTGTGATACCTTGTGTACAATATTTATATTATTATATTTATTATATTTATGATACTAACAGACCTATTTATAAATATATAACTCTCAATAAGAAAGAAGAAAAATATTTCATTCAGGACTAGCCAGAAATGCAATTTTAATGGTTTGAATCTATAATCACATGCAAAATCTGGCATGGAATATATCTACCTTTTGAGCCACAACTAGAGCATTTCCACCATTTTTGAAGCCACACTGGCACAAAATATATCTACCATCTAGTGAGGAAAATATCTACTCTCTGAACCACAATTAGATTTTTTGAGCAATGGTTTTAGGGATTTGCAAGCTGTGATTCCATTTCTTTGATCTGTGAATTCCATATCTTGGCCATCAGCCCATCATCAGCCATGATGAGCCATTTACAAACAGCTATCTCATTTACAAAGTCCTATGCATGTGTTACCACAAATCTCAAATTTTACCCTTGAAACAGCAACAATAACATTTGTCTTTACTTTAGTAGCACCTGACATGTAAATGACCATGATAATGCAGTCTAATGTGACTGCAACAATGCAATCTTCAATGAAACTTTTTGGATTAAAGGATATTTTGGCTGGAGCATTGAACTTGATTGAAGTACCGTACTGCCAAAGTCGAAAATTTTATGAAATGACATGTTTGCAAAGAACAAACTGCAATTTTTTCAATCAAATAAAAATACATGATATTAGAGCCTCAAGGTTTCATATACTTACTGAAATTATATGTATTACCTAGTACCTACTATTAGAGCTGCAATATTTCAGAATAAAAGGACTTTTCTCAGTCTACCATTCTGCCTAGGGTAAACGCGGTATATTCCGACATCGTAGGTAATTCCATCACTTCTCTAGTTTTTCCTTTATATTAAGCTTTGTTTTAGTTCCATGCGTTCATTGATGGTTGAAATGGTGACGTCATACATTTGCGTGTCGAAATACTGCAAAAACACTAGGTCTTGGCCATCTAGTGGGAAAATAAATATCGAGCCGCGAGATTCCAAATGTATTGAAAATTCGTCATGTTGAAGCCGCGAGATTTCAGAAACAAATAGAAAAATTCCAATCCTGTTAATGGAGATGGAAGTTTCCTGCTAAATGAATCTCTTATTCAATTGTTAACCAAAGTGCACCAGTGGGCTACAAAAAATTCCAATGCTATTTCAGTAATACTGTAACATTAACTGATTCCGATGCTATTTCAGTAATACTGTAACATTAACTGATTAAGTAGACAGATTCTATTCCTGCACCAAATCATGATGATGCAGCTGCTTCAGAGTTCAGCCTTTAGGCTTTCAGCTTGTTTGATTGGGCGTGCAGAAAACAAACATTAGCTTTCTCAAAAAAAAACATTACTTACTTTTGCGAGTTCCAAATCAACAAAGGTACATTTTCATTTGAAAAGGCAGCATTAAAGAGCGAGAAAAGAATACACAGAACAGCACGCCACTCCATGTCTGCGAATTGCGATCACAACAATCGACCGCCAATAGAATACTAGAACCGTTGTCACTGCGATCATATGACTGCGGTCGCTCAGGTGATGGACTCGATCGTCTATATTTTTGGTGCAAATATCATTTTTTCTTTAGTGAATTTTACAAAAGCAGAAAAATATCATTTATATAAATAATAATGTGGAATACTTTGAGACTTCAAAAAATACTTTATAATTTAACATTATCATCGTCCAAGCCGATAAAGGGCGTTAGCGATTTTTGTACGCTAACGCAATCCAAATGATTTTGACATTATATAATCTATAGTAACGAAATGAATTTTGTCCTATCTCGTAAATTGAAGGTAAAGATTGTTCCCAAGTCAATATTAAAAATTCGATGAACTAAATATATCTAAAGTTTGTCGCTTTCCGTCAATGCTGCAGGATTATGATGGAATTGGAATTGGGGTGCGTGGTGACCTACGGTCACGACCTTTAAATCGGTCATACACGCTGCCTAGAAACTTTTACTAGCATCAAAAAATTAAAAGTTCGCACTCTTATGTTAACAAAAAAGTTCAAATATACAATATTCACAGCTGTCCTAAGAAAATATATAAAAATTTGACAATCCCCAAAAAGTAAAACCACGTACTAAAACAGTTCGGCACGTTCATACCTCTTCCCACCCTCCCCTCTCTCAACCCTCCATTCCTCAAGACCCCACTCATAACATCCTCCTCCTCTCCCTCATCCTCCACACGTTTTCCAAATATCTCTTCACACTCTCAAACATAGCCGCAGTTGCTCCCTCAGACAGGCCCGTAATTATTGCCATCCACTCTTCGCTTGTTCTCGCATGCCCCACCTCGTTAGTCTCACCTCTCTCATTCAGAATCACCTCAATCATAGACTGACGCTCTCTCTCATACGCCCCACATTCCATCAACAAGTGCTCTACAGTCTCCTTCTCATCCCCATCACACATAAAACATTTATCTTCTCTCCTTTCATTCCACCTGTATGTACGTCCATTCACACCTAGCTCGCCTGCCCTAACACAAAACAGAAGGTCCCCACCTCTACTACCATCATACGTACATTCATATTTTGGCATCGCTTGCATCTGATACAGTCTTAGAGAGTCCTTTCCCTCCATTCCTTGTTTCCATACCTTCAGCCCATAGTCTTTCACTCGCTCATTTATTTCTCTTTTCCACTCTTTTTCATCCCACTCTATCCCAATCGCACCCCGTACTGTCACCACCCATTCGTCCTTTGGCCCAGCGGGCCTTAGGCGCACCCATGCTTCATGCATGCCACACTTACGTACCACTGCCCGACATCTGCGTGACCATTTGCTCACCTTCATGTTCCACATATACATCTTTCGAGCCCAACGTTCATCATCCATTCGCTCCAGTCTCACTTTATACCTCAAAACTGCTCTCATTCTTCTTTCATTGAAGGTACTCCAACCCATGTCTCCTCTCAGGGCCTCTACTGCAGTCCACCTGGGGGCTCCTAGTGCCAATTTCGCCACTCTATTTTGTACCAATTCCAATTTATCTAGCTCGCCATCACCATATGCTATCACATCCAATCCATACATAATGCTAGGCACTGCTACACTCTTCCACACTTCTCCCAATACTTCATACTTACTCGCTCTCACTTTTGCTGCATTTCCAAGTATACCCAACCATTGGTTCGCCTTACTTAAATTCGCGGCCTTTGTTCTCTGACATCCTTCATGGTCCACACACAACCCTAAGTACTTATACTCATTTGTCTCATTCCCTCCCAACATCCATACTCTGCTCATATCCTCAATCGCTCCATTCACAACAAGTACTTGGCTCTTCTCCGCACTGAATCGCACATTAAAGTCCCTCCCATACTCAGTCACACAGTCCAGCATACCTTGCAGTTCCTCGCTATTTTCACTTATAATCACAGCATCATCAGCATACAGAAGCATTCTTAACCTTTCGCCGCCTACACGCGCACCAACATCCATTCTCCTCACCCTCGTGGCCATCTCTTCTGTGTAGAGGTTGAAGAGAAGTGGAGACAGGATACAGCCTTGTCGTACGCCTCTCCTGCTCCTCACCCAGTCCGTCTCAATATCCCCAAGTCTATATTTTGCTCTAGTATTCACATACATACTTCTCACAAGCCTAAATAAATAATGATAAATGATAATGATAAATGATTTTTACTCTCACTTCGTCTGGCGGAGTATATTATTTTCTCATATATCTTTATTGTTGCTTGTCTGAATGAGCCAATTGAATGAATCTAAATAATGAGGCAGTCTGATCAGCTACTTGCTGAATCCGCAATGTTAACTTCATGCGATTCGTTTCGTACTAAAATTTGTGTCGAGCACTGCATAAAATAGCCCGTAATTAATGAAACTTTACCTGATTTTCTATTTTTTTACCTTTTTTTTATTTGTTTTCAATGTAAATCCAGTCTTTAATTATTTCCGATTATTGATGGTCGAAAGGGACCAAGTAGCTGAGAGAGTAAACTTATAATAAGCACGTAAGAGTTTTAATAGGTTCTACGAAATTGAAGCTGTCCATTCGTGGCGGTCGAGGAATTTGATATCATGGTATTTGGGTATAAATTATTTCCACGGAGCGTAATTGGAAATAAAATTACTTCAATAATTTTTTAATGTAGTAATCTATTTAGCTTATGAAGTTATGCTTTGGTTTTGCTCCTGACCCTATTGGCGCATTTCAACGTACGAAAAGACGACATAACTTGCTTATGATTTGTTTTTGCTCATGACCCAATTGGCGCATTTCAACGTACAAAAAGACGACATAACTTGCTTATGCTTTGGTTTTGCTCATGACCCTATTGGCGCATTTCAACGTACAAAAAGACGACATAATTCATTAGACGACATAACTTGAAAAAGTGATCACTGCCGGACCTTAATAATAATTAGACTAGATATTTGTCAACGTAAGTGCGTTATCGGGAGCATCGGGCAACAAGACACCTGCTTCCAGTCACTGGTAATCAGATGAAACAGGTATCCTTGAGTTATTAAAGTTTATTTTTTACTTTCTCACGCACTCATAGCAGAATCTGTCTCGCCTAAACTAAAAAATTCATCATCATGGAGCGGTCGGGCAAATAATGTCGGGCTTCGATAAAAGAAATAAGCTCGGTTCAAGGTTCATGTTGATGGAATTAAGCAGTGGGACGAGTTTTGTTCGGGACCCTATTTTATAAAATCTTTCAGCCAAAATTTTTTATAATTGTCATCAAAAGGTCGCAATGGAAGCTTTTCATCAATTATATAGTGACAATTGTACCACTAGTTTAGAAACTTGTCCTAGTAATTGGTAACCGCACCAATGCTATCATGGTGTCATTCCCAATATATGAATGGAATCTCAAGTGAAATATAACTAAAACTTTCGTATAATTGCAAACATTCTAAATTAAAATGGTCTAAAGATATAATAATGAGTATTATTATGAACATTTTTGACATTCACGCGTTGCTAATGTCTTATCGGTGGTTGAAACTTCCGTCAAAACTTGCGCTGCGCTCAGGTGAAATACTTGGGACCCAAGGAGATACGAACAGTTAAGTATACAGACAGACAACGGTATATGAGCAGCACATATAATCTGATAAATCCAAGTCTAGTGGTTCTCATAGTCAGTTTTTTAGTAGCGTCTTTGCGGAACAGGATTTGAAGAGTATTCTCTCATTTGGAAAGTCATCTGTAGGCTTGAAGTTAATAAGTTTCGAAAGCCTAGAAGAAGGTCAGCTAAGAAAATGTCGTCCAAGCACCCAATAATAATTAATTTTTCTTCTTGTGAAGAAGAGTACATGCACGGGTCATTGGTACTAAAACCGAAAATTTATGAAGAAAGACTCTTGTCAAACATATGAGTATGATGCAGGAGGCCTAAAGTTTCATAGCCAGCAAGTCACTAATGATCACCCGGGACTTGTATTTATCAACAGGAATAAACCAAAACCACCAAGTCGAGTTTGACCATCAAAGAGATGATAGAGAATTCTGTTCCCACTAAATCATCTGAACAATGGAAGCGTGGCAAAGTTTCAGTTATAATCTGAGTGAACTCAGCAGGGAATAACGTTGGCTTACATAGAGCGTCTCCGTAACAGCAGAATCTCGTGCAGTCTTTGTGAGGTCCACTTTGACCGTAGACACTCGCCAGTAAGACCTCTTCAGGGTGAAGAATAGCCTGCAAACAAAAAAGCAAGTTGCCTTTAGATAGAATCCAAGACAGCCAAATTTTATTGTATTTTGTAAAAATGTTTCCACAGCTGAAACAACTAATAAACTACAACCCTTCAAAAAACTAAAATAAAATGCCGGAATAATCCGATGAAATGAAAGTGTGTCTGAACCCTGAACAGAAATGTTATGGAAAAGTGCATGCTGTAGTGGCGAGAATCTATTTTTAAAGAATTTTCTTCATTTTATTACAACACTTCTCTTTAACTTCACTTCTTGTTGTTTGTTTGTCTGATAGAAATCTTATAATCGATTTTTAGCACACTTCTACCTCTCCAATCAATCTAAAATTTTGCACACTTGCGTAAAGTTAGAGACAGTGCATGAATCAATTGACAGAATAAATAATTTTAGAAATGAAAAAAATTTTAATACCTATTAAAAAAAATTTTAAAAATAATTTTGTCTGATACATAATCAATATATAACACACTTTTACCTGTCCAATCAATCTTAAATTTTGCACACTTGCGTAAGGTTGGAGATAATGAATAAAGGTGATCACAACAATAAAGGTGATCACAACACCAAATTGATAGAATAAATAATTTTGAAAATTTAATTTTATTTAAATATTAAAAAAAAATTAAATTATGTTTTTTTAATATATGAAAATAAAATTGGAAATTCATTGGACATGTGTAACATCGGAGAACCTGGATTCTTCAGAAGTGTTGTCTTTAAAAAGTAATTTTCAACCTCATATTATTTCTGTTGATGATTTCAATCCAGAGAAATTAGTAAGGTAGATCCTGATAATAGGAACTGCCAATGGCCATTAGCAT